ATATTCTGTTCACATAGAACTTGAACACAATGCACATAGTTCAACAGCACAGACAGCAAGATCATTCCAAACATGGGGTGAAATTAGGCAAGATGAGGATAATAGTAACACATTTGTCTGCTTTACTCACAATAATACACAACACCAATCACTGCACATACTACCCCTTTTTCATCTGCACCAGTCAACCAGAAATGCCCATAATTTAATCAGTAACAGTTACATTTTAGAACACGTATCAAAAAGTTGTTGCTCCCATTGAAAAGAAAATATGACATTTAATGCATAAATACCATTCAAAACAACAGTAAACTTCAAGCCAATCTGTACACACTGAGATACCAATTCCAGTGATCAAATCCTATAAAAGGAAGTGAAAGTATGAGTAAGTCATTAAGAAAAAAGAAGAAAAATTAAGATGTATACTTTGCCCTGTAGAAAGTCGATGCATGCAACCTGCAATTCAACATCTTGCACTGCCAAGCAGACATATACATATGTGTGTGTGTGTGTGTGTATGTGTGTGTGTGTGTATGAATGGCTCAGACCACCCAGCAAAGACAGTGAATTATTGAACAGTAGGCGAGCAGGCAGGCAGGCGGGCAGGTGATGCTAGGAAACAAAGACTATAGAGAACAAAGCTGCATTAGTAAAGGCAAGTACTGTACTTTTCGATGTAACAATAATTTTGGAATATCTAACAAACATTAAGTGTTAACACAGACAGGTGTAAATCTGTTAGGAGACAGATTATTTTAATATATTCTATCAGGGATTATTGCCCATAATGAAATAGGATGTTGTATAAATATTACATTTGACACTTTCCAATGTCTCAGATATATCTGTCTGATACATACATTTTAAAAACCAAATCCATTTTCATCATCAGATATAATGGGGAGAATGGATCCCACTCAGTATCCCCTTACATATGACAGAAACAGATACAATCTCCATGATATTACACACACACAAACACTCAAGACAATTTAACATATCAAAAATATTCACAAAAATTTATCACCCATTGTCACAAACCTTTAAATGTCAAACCTGAAAGTTTCTGGGTCAGATTTTTTTTTGGAAATACAAGAAGATTGACAAATATGGGCAACATCTGTATGACTCATTTTTGACTAAACTGTAAGGGACTATAGACATGTTGAATTTATCTTGTTCTGCAGTGGATGCTGTTAATTCTTGTTTCTACACTTGTCACAAAAATGGGCAGAAAATCTTAGAATAACTACATAATTTTCAACTTTGTGTCAAAATTGGATAAATCTGTACATGATCACATAAGATGTTCAAAGCAGTTTATAGTGATGAGGTCATAAAATGAATAGAAACTTCATAATGGTTTTAAGAGCTTCAAAGAAGATATAGAACATAGTATGAACAATTGTGAATAATTAATGTAATAAAGATTTTTTATTCATCACAAGAATGTTGAGAATATACAAAAAATATTTAGAACTGATGGAAAATTCATAATTTCATAAATCAATGAACTTTTGGGTAGAACTCATAAACACAACAATAAAATAAGTAAAATTCAATTAAGACAGAAGAAAACTGATCCCTATGTTTAAAAAATACCATACACAATCTCTGTATCCTTTTTCATATACAGTATCATTTAGTGTTTATTGTCATATATGTCTGAAACGCTATAACTGAAATTTTAAACTCATATTGTATGGTATTATAACAAACAGTTTTATAATATTATATTTAAGCATCCTGTTGCACTCCATACGATACATGATACCAACTCCGTCTTCAGTGCAACCATATATTATAGGTCTTTCGTTTTGCTCTCCTTTACACACTACATGTTTCGGCCACAAACGGCCATCATCAGGTGTATTTACTCACGTATCTGTCACACTGCACTTAGTTTAACATTTAAAATTTAAAAACACAGGTCTTCTTGATTGTTCTTTTCGTCGTTATTACCAAAATTTATTTCTCTGATGTCTTTGTTATTTACACACGTCAATTTTGATTTCTTTGAATTAGCACTTATAAAATCTTCAGTTCTAATTTTAAATTCTTCTCAAATTTTCCTCTAAATTTAAAATTTAAAAATGTCAGGGTTACTCGTCCTATGTCTATAGTGTTGCAGCGGCTACTTCTTGTATCTAGTACTGTACCAGTGTTATTCTGTGTAGTCTCTCTGTGTGCGTGCCGCACATGTAGTAAAGACAAGCAGCGGCACGCACACCAAGAGACTACACAGAATAACACTGGTACAGTACTAGATACAAGAAGTAGCCACTGCAGCACTATAGACATAGGACGAGTAACCCTGACATTTTTAAATTTTAAATTTAGAGGAAAATTTGAGAAGAATTTAAAATTAGAACTGAAGATTTTATAAGTGCTAATTCAAAGAAATCAAAATTGACGTGTGTAAATAACAAAGACATCAGAGAAATAAATTTTGGTAATGACGACGAAAAGAACAATCAAGAAGACCTGTGTTTTTAAATTTTAAATGTTAAACTAAGTGCAGTGTGACAGATACGTGAGTAATACACCTGATGATGGCTGCTTGTGGCCGAAACATGTAGTGTGTAAAGGAGAGCAAAACGAAAGACCTATAATATATGGTTGCACTGAAGATGGAGTTGGTATCACGTATCAAACAGTTTTATGCTACTTAAAAATTTACAAGAGCTTTAAGTTGTACTTCATTTTATACCATTAACTGTTTACTATAAACTGTACTTTAAATAAACAGCAGAGCTAAAGCAAGAAGTTCAGATTGCTCTCTCTTCGATTGTTATGCTCCTCCACTGACTTTTGTGAAAATGTTCCTCATGACAGAGTTGAGGGTTGAAACAATTGAGGTATATATACCAGTTACCAAACAGACACAGATCATTAACCAATATGCATTTGAATACAGTCAACAGTTACTTACGAAGAGCATTCCATATATAATGCTTCCTATTTTTTTGTGTTAATATGTAACGTCTGAGCTGGATGTTGGTGTTGTAGTAAAGGTTGAACCTTCCAGCCAATGTACTGTTAGTTTGGTTGTCGTGCAACAGATAGTGACAGCAGAGCAGTCTACCAAAATGGCATCTGACATAGAAGTGCGTACAAAACAGAGATGTGTTATTGAATTTCTCACTGCCAAACAAATTGCACCCAATGACATCCATCGACGCTTGTTAAAGGTGTACGGAGACGATACAGTGGATGTCAGCACAGTGAGGCAGTAGTGTTTCAACAGTGGCGAAAGTGAAGTACACAACAAGCCACGCCCTGGGCATCCCTGCTCAGCTGCCACTCCTCACAATGAACAGCACCTCGATCAGCTCATCCATACAGATCGGCAGATAATGACCAGGGAACTATGTGCATGGCTTAATATCGGCTGTGATGCATTGAAAACAATGTTGGGGAAGCTGGATTATCACAAAGTTTGTTCCAGGTGGGTTCCGAGGATGCTTACATAGGACCACAAAATTCATCGAATGGAAGTCTGTCAGGACCTGTTGACAAGTTTGAGGCTGAAACTGACAAGTTTCTGGATAACACTGTCACCGGACATGAGACATGGTGTCACCACTATGAGCCGGAATCTAAAAGACAGTCCATGGAGTGGTGACATCCAGATTCCCCAAGAAAAAAGAAGTTCAAGACACAGCCATCAGCAGGAAAAGTGATGCGCATGGTCCTTTGGGAAAGGCGGGGTGTGATTTTGCTGGATTTCCTGGAGCCTGGTGAGACTGTCAATTCTGAATGCTGCAAGAGGACGCTGACTAAGCTGAAAGCCCACATTTCCCGAGTCAGGCCAGAGAAGCAGACAATCTTTCACTTGCAACACGATAAGGCTAGACCCCATACAAGTTTGGCGACCACCGCGCACATTGCAAAGTTTGGCTGGACTGTCCTACCACATCCACCTTATAGCCCCGATTTAGAACCTTCAGACTTCCAGCTCTTTGGGCCTATGAAAGATGGACTATGTGGGAAACATTTTCCAGACAACAATGCTGTCATTGCAGCTGTAAGAAAGTGGCTGGCCTCTGCTGGCTCAGACTTTTACGGGCATGGCAGACTCTTGTTCACTGCTGGCAAAAGTGCATAACGAATGGTGGTGATTATGTGGAAAAATAACTGTAAGTAGCTGAAACCTTGCTCTATTTAACTGTATTATTATGCTTTCTGTATCTGTTGTAGTTTTCATTAAAAAATAGGAGGCATTATATACAGAACACTCCTTGTACATTCATATGACATTTCTTCCACATGTTACAGTAATTATAACACAAAGAAGTTAACAGCAAATTCTTGAACACTAGAAAACACATAGATAAAGAATTCTACATAAAAGAAAAGAAAACAATGCAGGAAACTAGAAAGAACTTCATTTCAAGTTAGTATTGTCAAATAGAACCTATCAATAAAACTGTTTTTTTATATTATGCATGGCCTCACCATGGTTTAAATTTCTCATTTTATGTATGGAAATAATCTTAAAACACAAAGAACTAAACAATTTTTGTAGGCTACAAATATACACAAAAAATGCTTATTTCTGTAACATCTGTGACAAGATACAGGTGACCATTTTTAGGTGATGGGTCACCTTGACCCAGCAAGAAGCAGCATTAATTAAGCATGATGAAAATCATCATAACTAAAGAAGACATAACTTATACTAAAGAAATAAGTGTGAAACAACTGTTTCTGTAATTATGAGATACATGAAAAGCTAAGAAATTACTTAAATTATAAATTAAAAAATATGGATGCAATAAACTGATCCTCAATCAAGAAGTATTACTGCTTGCCTAAATGGTAAATCAGAATGTAGCATCACTGAAGAAGCAAAGCCTTGTAAGAAGAGGTCTTGATAAGACTAGTAAATTAATAAAATAATTATGATTCTTGTGAGTGCATCATATCACCTTAATGTTCTTTATGCTGCTTCTTCCTGACATCTGTGAGTCCTGGTGAAGTTACTTCAAGTACATTACCTTTATGCATGTGTGTAGGAGTTGTGTAAGAACGTCCCCATTGGGTCTGTGGTGTCTGACGGCTGCCCAGAATCCGTGTTACAATCAATTCCACCTGTGGTTCCTGTTTTGATTCTGCTATGATATCGTATACCTCCTGGAAACTCTTTCCCTGAAGAGAGCGCCCATTCCATTCAATTACTTCATCACCTACACAACAAAACAATGGAAAGATTTCATTTTAATAATTTCAATGTTTCTTTTTTAATTCGTTTCATCTCATCCTATCAAAACAGGACTTCAGTAATGGAATCTTTTTTGCTCTTTACTTAAAAATAAAGATTTACAATAAACTTCTGAAGTAAAAAGCTTTCATAAATAACATTTTAAAATTCCTTACCTGTCTCTAAAAAAACAAACATCTGTGTTACAAAAATTAGTTAATAATGTTTAGAAAAACAATCATGGTTCATTTCCAGAACAGAACTAAAAATACAAAGATGTTGGCAAAATCCTGAGTTGCTGAAATCTAGAAGTGGTACCCATAGTTGCAATTGTATTTAAAAGGTTTAATAGCAAAATGAGCCTAGCATAGGTGTAATGATTCTCTTTAACTGCATACATCATATAAAATAATCTCTAGTCTTTTTCAACCAGCAATAGGAAATTTTCAATCTCTTGCCACTAGAGAGCTGGTGGCCCAGATTGTATGAGTAACTAGGGGCAATTGTACTGTATTAACTACCTCCATGATGCAGGGCTTTCTTAAGAAGCTTATATTTGCTCAGCTATATATGAAATTTCTAACATTTTAAAGAACCTGCAGGTTTCTTACAATGTTCATAAAAACCTGCCACTGATCCCTATCCTGAGCCAGATGATTGCAGTCCACATTAACCTACTGTATTTCTTTAAGATCCATTTTAATATCACCCTTCCATATACATCTAAGTCTTCCTAGTAGTCTATCTCCTTCCACTTTTTCTACCAAACTCTGTATGCATTTCTCTTCTCTCCAATGAGTGCTGCATTCCTTGACCATCTCATCTTCTTTGACTACTGTGTTTGTATTAAAAAATGGAATGCTTGGCCAGCTAGATCACATGCACATGCTGATACCATTGCACAATGCACATAAAAGGATTAAAATGACATGAGAATAACTGGAAATCTAACTAGTAGTTTCATAATGCTGACAGTGCTTAATGAATAACAACATTCTCATCTAAGTGGAAAAGTAAGAATTCTGTTTTAACATTTACTAGCATCATAAAATGCTCCTTTACATGGCACTTCAAATACCGACACCTCATCCTTTAATTTCACATATTAAATATTTCACCAATTCTTAACTCACATCAGATAAATAGGTTTATTCATTTCATAGAGATGTGTGGCATTCATTCTTGCACATATGAACACTATCACCGAAACAAGCACCGTGCCATAGCTTAAGCGGTTAGTCACTGGCTTCTCACCACGGTGGCCCGGGTTGAAACCCAAGTCTGGTCAAGTGGGACTTGTGGTGGACAAAGTGGTGCTGGGGCAGGTTTTCTCCA